ATGGAATGTGATTTAAAGATATAAATACGAATGAATGTCAATGACGCTGAAGGAAGTTCAAAATGCATGAGAAGTGTTGAAACATGGATATAATGTATAAACAATGAAATCAATAAAATTTTAAAATGCAAAAAAAAAAAAGAGATTGAGAGTCTCATGTTCTACCAACTGAGCTGTCCCAGGCCTCACCTGCTGATCATAGAGTCCATGACAGTTGGCATAGAAGAAGGCACTCTATTAGGTACTTGGGTCCCAAGCCATTTGCGGCTTTATATGCTAGGATTAAAACGTTACATGTGGCCTGGTAAGACATTGGTTGAAGGCATTTCAAATGTTCTTGCAATCCGCCTCCCCGAGGGTGGTGCAAATAGAGCAAAGATGGAACTCTGGTTTCTCCTGTTAGGAGTTTAGACGAACACAACCCAAATACTATCAACTCTTCAGCTCTTCGCCTCCCGCTCTCTTCCTGGCCTAAGTTCCTGCCTTGGATACCTGTTTCAATTTCATAAGTTTGTGTCCACGTAGTGTTGCATATTTGCATTTAGTAAATCTTGATTTGGGGGAGGTGGGGGTTGAAAATGATGTAACGTTTTGGTGGCCATACTTATAAATATTGTGTTCTATCCAACTAAGTCCTACTCGCAGAGGACGCACTGAAATGAATGAACCTAAGTTAGTCATATTCATTAACTTCAATATGAGCACGCTTGATTGGAGCCAAATCCTTCCTCATCAAAGCTCGGCACGTAAACATTGGTTATCTTGCAGCCAACATGGTGCCCTCCAGGAGTTACTGGACTACAAATCCCACCATCCATGACCATTGGCCGTACTGGCTGGGGCTGATGGGAGTTGGAGTGCAACAACATTATGCTGGCCCAGTGCTGTCCCCCCGGCTCAGGATATACCTGTTGACTTCTGCTCTTGCTTTCCTGTGACTTACAGTATTAGCAGACTGCCACTGGGTATTTCTTTCTGCACCTTTCTCTCATAGCTGTGTTTGATGGGCACCCTTGTTTTCTTGATCAAAGTTAGTTGCAGTCTTTCTGAGCCAGTCTTGCTTAGGAGTTGATTGGGGCCATAGCGGCCACTGAAGACGCCACACAAGTTGGGGTACAGCATGTGCCTGAATAGCTCAGTTGGTTAGAGCATGGTGCTGATAACGCCAAGGTTGCAGGTTTGATCCTGTATGGGACAGCTGCATATTCCTACATTGCAGTGGGTTGGGTTAGATGGTTTTCAGAGTCCCTTCCAACTCTGATTTTATGATTTCTCTGTTTACGCTGTAACAAACAGTTGGTTAAGCTGTGACTCAAGATCCTGATTCCTCCTCACTCACCCCAGTTGAAATTGGCTCTTTGTATAGGAGGATTAAAAGCCTGAGATTTGGGGGCTAATCCTACTAAATGCAGCTGTCTCTGATCCTATTAATTGGCTTCTGTAGCCTGGGAATGCTAACAGGTATGCAAGGTTTCGAGGCTGGAGTAGTAATATTAAATAACAACTCCTGGCTTTGCTTTCTTGCATCCTCATGCTCCACAGTCATCAGCAATTGTTTAGCTGTTGTTTCTTGGTAGTGTTAAGCTGAATGAGATCACTTGTGCCTTGGTAGGTTTATTGAATCACACACACACTCGCCTCTAACCCTGTTGGAGGTGATCATTCATTTCCCTCACCGCTTAAGACCCGCTTGATGCTCTTCCAGATGTTGTTGGACTACAACTCCCATCATCTGTTGGCTGGGGCTGATGGGAATTGTAGTCTTGAAACATCTGGAGGGCAGCGGAGAAGACAGCTCAAGACCATGTGATCCCTTCAAACCCTTCACTAGCTGCTGCCTTGCCCTCTTAATTTTTAAAGCTAATCACAGCCCAGCCCTCACAGCCCAATATTTATTCATCCACAGTCTGTGCTCTTCAGACTCATCTACCTTTGTTGGACTAGATGGGTCTCTGGTAGGGCGGTTCCTATGACGGGGTGGGTGATTGAGGAGAAGGCTATCAATGACTACAACTCATGACGGCTGAGATTATCTCCATTGTTGGCGACATTGAGTCTCTGAATGATAGTTGCGCAGGGTCACAAGTGGAAGGGGGTGTCGTTGCATCAGGTTGGCCACTGTGTGAACTTGTATGCTGGACTAGAGGGACCTTTGACATGAATCCAGCAGGGCTCGTCTTAGGTTCTTACCTTTCCCCTTGTTTCTCCATATGCCTCCTCACCTCTTTCAAAGTCTGTTCTTCTATAAAGCCTCGCCTTACCCAAAAGTCTTAATCACCACCTGAAACAAAAGCTGACATCTCCCAACCTTTCCAGGCACCACTAGCAGATCTAGATTGTACACTCTTTGGCACAGCACCCTGTTACTACTTCTGCAAAGCGGCCCTGTATGTCAAAGGGCTACATTAAAACTGGTATGAAGTTCTTTGTATTGTTAATAGAGCATTTTCCACCTGCATTGTTGTTTTCAGGGCCAAACTAGGCTGTGTCTACATCTCTGTCCCACTTGTCCTCCGAGGAGCGTAAAGGGAGCATACATGGCTCTTCCCCCAACCCCCATAGAAAAGCAATCTTTGAGGAGACAAATAGCAGGAAGAGAAAGGGTTAAACATCCTTCTCACCCCTCCCTCCGCAGCTGCTTTTTGTCAGGGGTCAGGAAGGGAACCCAGTACACTTAACTGATAAACTTGCTGCATAATGTCCCGTTCTGCTCTCACTAAGGTGGTGAAACCTTGTTCTGTTTCTTGATCGGCTTTTAAGTTCATCTTAATTTTTTTTTTCACTTTAAAAAAGTTCCCTCAAGACAGAAACCTTCTAACATCTGGGGTTTTTTTCCTGATTCTTGAGGAACTCAGGTTTATTTACATCTTCAATATTTTGAAAGTGTTGACAGTGTGCAGAATGCTTTTTCAAGAGTCCTTATCCTAGATGCTGTCTCCTGCCTTCATCCTCTAGCTACAAAATTGGGGAGCTGGCTCAGCTAGAACTGGATCCGGTTTTTCTTGTTCTTCTTCAGAGGTTTACTCATCCTCCTATACTACTTCCTGTTTTTGTCTATTTGACAGTGTTGGTTTCCCCCCCTCCCCCAACCTTCCTACACTGCCACTCATGATTTTAATAAAATCACTCAAATCAAACTTTCGGATTTCAGGGAATTGTTTCTGCATGCACTGAGCTGCCATGGATTTTCCTCCTTGCACCTCTGTTCTGGTATATTTTCTAGTCCAAGCACAGGTCCCATTTGCTCGATACATTTAAATGAGTCTCTAACCACTTTAAATAGTCATGACTTCCCCCAAAGAACTCTGGGAACTGTAGTTTTGATAATGGTGTTGGAGGTTGCTAGGAGACCCCTATTCCCCTCGCAGAACTACAATTCCCAGAGTTCCCTGGGAAGAGGACTTGAGTGTTAAACCACTCTGAGAATTGGAACCTGCACCCCATTTGTTAACAGCTGTTAATAATATTAATGACTCAAAATTGTAAAGTTTCATTACTCTCACTTCTCAAAGATTGGCTTAATAAACTTTGGGATTTGGCTATAACTTCAAAAAACAAATTATCTAAGTATAAGAATTCCAAGTGATATGGAAGTCAATTATGGGGAAACTGGTTGCCCCTCATACAATTTTGTCAAGAAAATAATTACCTCCCGCAATGCAAATTCAAGTAGCCTTTGAGTTTTGTTTCATTTTTGTTAATGGTAATTTTATGTTAAGGAATATTTCCTTGTAGAGCATTATTTCTGAAGTATTTTTCTCTGGAGCAGTTTTCCTTATAATTGTTAAGAATTGTCAAATGATTAGGTAAAAATGTAAAAATACAGATTCCAGCTACAAAAGCTGAGGCTACTGAGGAGGCCAGAGACCATCTTGGCTTTAAGTCCTGGAAGACCTGCCCCCTGCCTTCCTGGCTTTTCCCCTCCTGGCCTAGAAAGGCAGGGCCCTGACTGAGTCCAACTGCAAAAGCCAAACAAACGGCAGTACTGTTTAGTAGAGTGCTGTTGGGTTTTTTGTTGTTGTTGCTGCTGCTGTTGATATTATTTTGTTGTATCTTTCTTTTTAGCTCTTATTTTGATTTATGTGGCAATTGTTCAGTTTTGTCTATTTTTATATTTATTGTTTATAGCTTTTGCAATTATGTATCCGGCCCGTAAGCTGCTTTGACCATGGTTTTAACTGTGGAAAGGGGGCCGTACAAATAAAATGATTGCGATGATGATGAGAGGCACTACAGTGGCTAGCCCTGGTCAAAGAACAAGCTCTTAGCTACAGCTCATAGTTTGTCCAGAGAAAGATATGTCACAATATTGCAATTATACCATACTCTGCATAGGGACCCGGGTGGTGCTGTGGGTTAAACCACAGAGCCTAGGACTTGCTGATCAGAAGGTCGGCGGTTCGAATCCCCATGACGGGGTGAGCTCCCGTTGTTCGGTCCCAGCTCCTGCCCACCTAGCAGTTCGAAAGCATGTCAAAGTGCAAGTAGATAAATAGGTACTGCTCCAGCGGGAAGGTAAACGGCGTTTCTGTGCACTGCTCTGGTTCGCCAGAAGCGGCTTAGTCATGCTGGCCACATGACCCGGAAGCTGTATGCCGGCTCCCTCGGCCAATAAAGCAAGATGAGCACCGCAACCCCAGAGTCAGCCACGACTGGACCTAATGGTCAGGGGTCCCTTTACCTTTACCATACTCTGCATTGCTATTGTAAGCCAGCTTGAATGAAAATGTCTTGCACCACCAGTGAAAGATGCATAAGCTGCAGCTTTGGCAAGTCTCCAGAGAAGAGAATTTCAATGGAGAGGGGCAGCCACTGACCACCTCTTTCTGCAAACTTCTTATGACTCGGTGTATAGATCCCGCTGGTATACTTGAACTTAAAGGTCATGCTGGTCTCAGGTTGGTAGGGGCTTTATGATGTCTTTGTGGAATGTCTCGAATGCAAAAAACTTAAGGGCGGGTCTGAACTCCTTGACTAACCCGACTCTCTTGTTTTCCCAGGTCACTAGAAAAAGAGTATGGCTCAAGAAACCAACCATAGCCAAGTGCCTATGCTTTGTTCTACTGGGTGCGGATTTTACGGAAACCCTCGTACGAATGGCATGTGTTCGGTATGCTATAAAGAACATCTTCAACGGCAGAATGGTAGTAATGGTAGAATTAGCCCACCAGGTGAGTTCAGATCTCCAAAATGTGCCGGGGTTGACTTCTAGATGCACAAGCCCATGTGGCTGCGGTAGGGAACCTCCAGTTTGCTGGTCAGTTTGGTCCATAAAGCCATCTCCCCCCCCCCCACTCCCCCAAACCAATCAGCTGACGTCATTGGGTGACATCAGGCGATGGGCAGGTTGTGGGGTTCACTCCTGCCAGGTGCCGCAGGTAGCATAGGGGAACTTTAGCCACATGGTGGTGTTTCTGTGCGCTCTGGCTTTCATCACAGTGTTCTGATGCGCCAGAAGCTGTTTAGACATGCTGGAAAAATAATAATAATAATAGTAATAGTAATAGTAATAATAGTAATAATAGTAAATAATAATAATAATAATAATAATAATAATAATAATAATAATAATAATAATAAAATTTATTTATTATTTTGTATCCCGCCCATCTGGCTGGGTTTCACCAGTTACTCTGGGCAGCTCCCAACAGAATTAAAAGCACCATGAAACATTAAAAACTTCCCTAAACAGGGCTGCTTTCAGATGTCTTTTTAAAGTCAGGTAGTTTATTGCCTTGACATCTGCTGGGAGGGCGTTCCACAGGGCAGGCGTCACTACCAAGAAGGCCCTCTGCCTGGTTCCCTGTCATGGCAAAAAAATGGGGGTGGAGGCACTGTCTGTGGACAAACGCCGGCTCCCTCAACCTGAAAGCGTGATGAGCGCTGCAACCCCATAGTCGCCTTTGACTGGACTTAATCGTCCAGGGGTCCTTTCAGGATACAAGTGCATGGGTCAGATAATTGACAGGTGGGTGATCCCTACCGACTTGTCAGAGTTGGCCCGCAGGGTGGCAGCAAGATAAAAATCTGGCCCACCAAGACCCAAAAGATTCCGCACTCCTGCAAAGATCTCGTGACCTGTCCAAGACAGCTGGGATTTTCGCTTGGCCTGTGTATGTCGAATGGGCCATGCTAAGCAGACTGCCTTCCTTTGTCTTGCAGCAGGCAGTTGCTAATTGTAGAACGGGAGAGAAAGAGAGAAGGAAAAGAAGAACTGTGACTAATTGTGTGTGGCCTGTAGTATCACCAAACAGATTATGATTCAGCTTCAAATGGAACATTAGGCCTACGCAGTTTTAACAGGTTTTTTTTTGTCAGTATAGTCTAAGGGTCATTCTTGCAGCTCGTATTTTACTTGTGGTAAAGTATTGCAAGCTTAGTCTTCCCGACACTGCCGTAAATAGCTGTAGAGCAGGAGCGGGGAAAAGTGTTCAGCCTGAGGGCCGCTTTCCCTTCTGTGCAGTCTTCCAGGGGCCACATGCCAATAGTGGGCAGAGTCAGAGGCAAAAGTGACCTGAGTGTGAATCTTACCTTTGTACAGCAGGCTCATAGGAACCAACTCCTAGGGGCCAAGGTCTCTTCAGCCCCTAAAAAAATATATTTGAGGGGGCCAGCCAGTCGTCCTCCCCCCCCCCCCGTTGATGGTCATTGCCATTCAGCTGGTGTGCATGTACTGCGTCTTGGCGATCGATTATGTGGGCTTACCTGCTCCCCAATATTTTATTCAAGTTGGCACCCTGTCCTCCATCCAGGCCAACTGCATTATTAGAGTATTAAGTGCACATTCCAGACTGGCAGGAAGGCTGCAAGGTGGGGCTGGTGAGGGAGGTCTTGAGGGCCAGGTACAGAGGTCTAAGGGGCCGCATTTGGCCTCTGGTTCCAAAGTTCCCCATCCCTGCCATATTGAGGGACTGGTTTGTTTGTGAGCCAAAACCGGCCAATGTAGGAAGGGATAGCTATGTTGAGGAGAGAGGAAAAAACAGGTGACCTGGAAACAGCTGCTGCCAAATTAAAACGGCAACATGCGACTTGCAGAACCTCCCATTACACTGTTGACCTTCCTGCCAAATAGCATGTTGCACATCATTTAAGATAGTGCAACTTTTCCAGGAAGCGATCATGAATACTTTCTTAACTTAGGCCACATCCACACCACCTGTTTAAAGCTCTATGATTCGTTAGTGCAAAGCCATGTCAGAATTACCGTAAATTTCGCTCTATAACACGCAGATTTTTTCTCCTAAAAAGTATGGGGAAATGTCTGTGCGTGTTATTGAGCGAATGTGTGGCCCCTGGAGCTGACTCGCCGGGGCAAAAATAGGCAAAAATTAGGCAAAAATCAGATCGGGCGGGCGGGCGGAGGGAAGGCGAAAGCTGCTGCTTTCCTGCATTCTGCCTCAGGGTCTTACTGCCCACCGGCTTCTGTTGCTGCGTTTGCTCAAACACAACAAAGAGCAGGGAATCCCCTGCCCTCCTGGCAAGCAGAGGGTTAAGGAAAGGATCGAGTCCTTCCTTCTAATTCTTTCCTAGTCACACTGCGTGCAGGCTCCAGCCCACCACCTCCTCCTCTCCGTGCTCTAGGGACTCGCAGGCAGCCGAAAAACATACAGGTGGGAGAGAGAGAGAGAGGGCTGGCTTGGGGGGGGGACTTTTGCCTTCCTTTCCTCCCCCCCACCCCGTTAAACTCCTCCCCTGCATTCTTAGCCAGCTGCTTCTCCGCACACCCCTCATGTGCTTCTTGTCCCTTCTGTGTTTTTCCTTCCCTCCCCATTTAAAACGTGGTGACAAAGCACGGATCCACATGGATCCTCAGGATTTTTGCATTGGGTCACCCCAAATTCACCATCAGATCACATTACATGTCCATGGCTACAGTCTGTACCAAAAAAAGCACGCACCCACTGTTGCCTGGGGCTGCAATGGTGCAAAAACGTGGTTACAAAGCATGGATCCACAGGATCTTTGCACTGGGTCACCCCAAATTCACCATCAGATAACATAGCATGTCCATGGCTACAGCCTGCACCAAAAAAATCACGCACCCACTGTGGCCTGGGGCCACAATGGTGCAAAAATGTGGTTACAAAGCACGGATCCACATGGATCCTCAGGATTTTTGCATTGGGTCACCCCAAATTCACCATCAGATCACATAGCATGTCCATGGCTACATCTTGCACCAAAAAAATCACGCACCCACTGTTGCCTAGGGTCACAGTGGTGCAAAAACGTGGTTACAAAGCATGGATCCACATGGATCCTCAGGATTTTTGCATTGGGTCACCGCAAATTCACCATCAGATCACATAGCATGTCCATGGCTACATCTTGCACCAAAAAAATCACGCACCCACTGTTGCCTAGGGTCACAGTGGTGCAAAAACGTGGTTACAAAGCATGGATCCACATGGATCCTCAGGATTTTTGCATTGGGCTACTCCAAACTCACTGTCAGATCCCATGTCTGTGGCCACAGCATAAACCACAAAAATCATACATCCACCGTTTCATTTAGAATATTTTTTTTCTTGTTTTCCTCCTCTAAAAACTATGTGCGTGTTATGGTCTGGTGCGTGTTATAGAGCGAAAAATACGGTACTTAAAACAGCAGCCCTAAAAGTATGGCCTTATCTGCACTATTCACTTAAAGCAGTATCGTAAAGCCAATCCTCCACGAATTTGTCTGATCCTCTTTTAAAACCGTCCAAGCTGTTGGCCATCACTGCAGTAAATTCCGTTGTTTAGCTATGTGTAGTGTGGATTGATTATCATCCCCCGAAGAGGTATTCTTTGTGTTTTTAAAACATCAAGTTTTATCTTATTTGAATTTTAAAAACAAACCAACCTGCACATTAAATTCAAAGGCACAATTGCCATCTCTTATAGTTGGGCATATATAATTGAATTGTAGTCCAACCCCTGTAATGCAGGAATATGCAGCTGTCCCATAGGGGAATCGAACCTGCAACGTTGGCATTATCGGCACCCTGCTCTAAGCAACTGAGGTGTGGTTAATAACTTAGGTGTAGATTTCATTCTGTCCTGAAATCATCACAGCCTAAAGTCTCCCCCAGCCCTAAGATTGCAACATCAAGCCTATGGTGACCAGTTGTCTTCTAGCGTGGCCAATTGCTGTCTTAACACGAGTGCCTCTTCTTTCAGCAACTTCTGTTAGTAGCCTAACTGAGTCTTTACCAGTTCAATGCACTGAAGGCAGCATCCAGGAAACTTCATCAACACTAGATTCTACACCTGTACCACCTATGCAGCCAAGGTAAAAATTGCCATCCTGTGTTTGTGTGTGTCAAAGGTCTATGTGGAATTGTTACCATAATGTTAATTGCGGCATTTTCTATTTTGGGGACAGAATGGTAACTGCATGAATGAGAGCATTCTCCCTTTTTTGGATTGGGAGTGCTGCACTATAGCTGCCTGTGGTAGTTTCGTTAATGTATCTGGGGACAGAGCAGGAGCCCGTCTTTCTACTCCCTATAATAGCAAAACTCAGGTGCTGAGTGCTGATGGTTACTTAGACAGAACAGGAAAACGTGAGGGAGGCATTGCCATACTCAGGTGTGCTTTGAGGTTTGTAAAACCAATTAGATCTATCCAATTACCGCCCGGTCTCGAATCTTCCATTCCTGGGTAAGGTGATTGAGAGAGCGGTTGCTGAACAGCTTGGTAGGTTTCTGGATGAAACATCTGCTCTGGATCCATTCCAGTCCGGCTTCCGCGCTGGTCATGGGACCGAGACGGCTCTGGTCGCCCTAACAGATGATCTCCGCAGGCAGCTGGATCGAGGTGGGTCGGGGCTGCTGATTCTTCTAGATCTGTCAGCAGCCTTTGACATGGTCGATCATGAACTCCTGGACCACCGCCTTGCCGACGTGGGGATCCAGGGCACAGTCCTTCAATGGCTGCGCTCGTTTCTCTCTGGTCGGGGACAGAGGGTGGCGCTTGGGGGGGAATTGTCATCGCGCCACTCCTTGGTGTGTGGAGTGCCTCAGGGTGCGATTCTCTCCCCGATGCTTTTTAACATCTTTATGCGCCCCCTCGCCCAGCTTGTCCGGAGTTTTGGGCTGGGTTGCCATCAGTATGCTGATGACACCCAACTCTATCTGTTGATGGATGGCCATCCTGACTCGGCCCCAGACACACTGACCAGATGTCTGGAAGCTGTGGCTGGATGGTTACGTGGGAGCCGGTTGAAGTTAAATCCTGCGAAGACAGAGGTCCTCTGGCTGGGGCGGGACGATATGGGATCGAGGGGGCAACTCCCATCTCTTGCGGGGGTGCAATTGGTGCCAGCACTGTCCGTTAAGAGTCTGGGTGTAATCTTTGATACCTCCCTCTCTATGGAGGCGCAGATTACAGCTATAACAAAGGCGGCATTTTTCCATCTCCGCCAAGCTAAGCAGTTGGCCCCTTATCTCTCTCGCCCTGACCTAGCCACTGTGATCCATGCGACGGTCACCTCCAGACTGGATTATTGTAACTCGCTCTACGTGGGGCTGCCCTTGAGACTGACCCAGAAACTCCAGCGGGTACAGAATGCCGCAGCAAGACTCCTTACGGGGTCCTCGCTGCGAGATCACATTCACCCGGTGCTATACCACCTGCACTGGCTCCCGGTGGAGTATAGGATCAGGTTTAAGGTGCTGGTTTTAACCTTTAAAGCCCTATACGGCCTAGGACCCTCGTACCTACGGGACCGCCTCTCCTGGTATGCCCCACAGAGAGACCTACGGTCTGTAAATAAAAACATCCTCAAGGTCCCAGGCCTCAGAGAGGTTAGGCTGGCCTCAACTAGAGCCAGGGCCTTCTCGGCTGCGGCTCCAATCTGATGGAATGCTCTGTCACAAGAGACTAGGGCCCTGCGGGACCTGACATCTTTCCGCAGGGCCTGCAAGACAGAGTTGTTCCACCAGGCCTTTGGTCAGGGCGCAGCCTGACTCCCTCCTCTGGCAACCTGCACAGTATTTTGGTTGCCATCAATTTGATTTTAATTAATTTTTATAATGAAATATTTTAGAATGTGTGATTATTCAACTATTTGGTTATTTGATTGTTGTTAGCCGCCCTGAGCCCAGCTTCGGCTGGGGAGGGCGGGATATAAATAAAATTTATTATTATTATTATTATTATTATTAAAAGTACCCAGATTTGCTGGAGTACTCTCCAAAGATGGCCCCATACAGATGTTGACTGGGGAAGATCTCAGCTTAAAACTTGTTGGAATGGGCAATGGCACAGCAAAATCTGCACCTCAATGTATGACCTAAACGCTTGTAAGATAAGCATTTGCACTTTGAATTGGAAGCATGCCAGTGAATCTGCTTTGGTGCTGGCAGCTCTGGTCCCAGTGCCTGTCCCCAGTTTCTGAACAGTCTTTCAAAGACAGTTATATTATTTTCAGAGCTCTGTGCTAAATATACAAGATAAACACAATGGAGGCTAGTCCGTGGGGGTAAATGTGACACTGCCCTCATCCACCCATCAGCTGACCATCTTCTTAAATTACAACTAGTCCAATGGATGGCAGCACTTGTCTTTGGACAAATACTTTGCTTCTGATGATTTTATTCGTTCTGTAATTTTGTTTCTGCCCTGCCTTTCCTTCGAGGAGCTTAAGATGACGACCGTGGCTCCCTTTCCCTGTTTATCCTCACGCCAGTCTTGTGAGGTAGGCTCGGCAGAGAGAGAGAGAGGAACTGACTCCAGGTCACTTAGCAAGCATCATGGCCCAGTAGCGTCTCGAACCCTGGTGTCTATAATATCAAGTTGCCTTTATAAGCAGTTGAAACAGTTGCCTTCCATAAGCGAATATTTCATGTGCTAGTTATGGCAAAGCCTGTACCACTTTCTAAAGAAATTCTCTCCCTGCCACCCCGCTTCTAGCCCTGTGTCAAGCCCATCATCACTCTTAGCAGAATCTGTAGCAACATGTGAAGTGGAAAGTACAGACATAGTGGACAAGGCAGGACCTGAAAGAGAAGATGTCCAAGGTTAGTATATGAACTAGTTGGATGCCTTCACTGTCTTTGTTTATGCTTTTTTGGAATGCCTTGAAACACGAAGAGAAAACATACATTGTTGTCCTACTTGATCTACTGCTGGTTATCAATAACTCCGCAATGCCAATTGTCAAAAACTGCAGAGGCCAGAACTGAAAAGAAGAGACTTGAATTGTACACTGGCATTTCCCAGTGAGCTTGCTGACAATTGCATCTCCTTAAGAGTGGAGAGAATCTGTAAGCACTTAATAATTTGTCACACAAGGTATAAAGCAACATGAATGTGCCAGGATTTCTCACCTTCCCCACCCCCCCAAAAAAAATTACTACTGTTTAAGCATTTTGGAAAGAGGTAAATAGTTGGGTAAGCAGCTCTGCATGACCAGAAATTTAATCTTACTGGTTTCAGACTCCAGTAAATCCCATCTTTTATCTACCAGCCCCTTTTGATTCCAAAGCTTGAGTGTGTTTGTTTATCTTGTGATATTCAGTCATATACTGAATATCCAGATTAATGCCATGGACATGAATGTTTCAGCCATCCAGTTTATTTCAAGAGAATCCAAACTTTGCTTACCTCGCTTAATTTGAATCCACCCTGTGGCTTTGCAAAGAAATCACCTATACGTGTAAAGCTGAATTTCACTGCAACAAGCCTAACAGACTTTAAAGTTTCTTGTCAGTTGTGTGGCAAGTAATGCAATTATGCAAAAGTACCTGTGTTAGTCTTTTGCTGAAAGAGAGTCCTGGGACTTATTATGACATGAGCTTATGCAGGAAAAAAATAAAAATCTTGCCACAATAGATTTTTTTAAAATCAGCATGGTAACACAGAACTCCTTTGCATGTGGGTTTTTTAAAGTGACATTCAAGGAGATTCCCCTTTAAAATTGCTATATGTATTGTTCGTGGAACTGAGCTTTCCTTGACAGATGTTGGGGCATCCTTGTGCCCTTTGGGCACAGATAACAGTGGAGAGTCTGGGCCCCCAAAACCTGCCTTTGAGCATTCCAGATGTGCTTCTAAAAACAGATTGTGCTCAATTTCATCTTTTAGGGGGTTTTTTTGCACAGTGACTCTAAACCATGTCATCAATACAGTTAACAATGTGATCCTTCCTACTCAGAAGTGAGTCTCACTGTGTTCAGGGAGACTTACCCCCACGTGAAGCGTGCCTAAGATTATTTGAGTGTTCCTGAAATTCAGAAACACAAGCAGCAGTGCTCTTTCTCACACACATTCTGGGAAGATGCAGTGAAATGACATAAGCACAGCATTACTCAGCTCATACACCCATCTCTGTGTACTCATTTCTGCCATGGGGGTAGCCGTTGCAGATGGCTTGCAAGTTAAGCTGGATCTCGGTCACACACTTGACAGCTAGGGCCTTGAGATAAGAAAAGGGGTATTAGACGAGTGCCGTGTGTACTAGAGTAAGCGAAAGCTTTATCTGTATTTTTCTTTGGTCCACTCCCAGTATAACATAGCAGGGTTTCTTCCTTTCTTAAGAGAAGCCCTTGTGGGCTCCCCCCTTGTGCTCATTGGGCTACTGATCACATCTTCTGCCTTTGGTGGGGGGTTTTTGGTTTGTTTCGTTGTCCTTCTTTTAGCTAAGCAATACCTGCCCTTTTGGTTCTGTGGTCTGGGCTCTGATTTGCTGCATATTCAAAACAGAGCACTGGTGTGGGGTTTTAAAAGAAAACACTACACTGAGGTCAGAGGAAGGGGCCTTCTACCAGGTCTAATAATTTGTCCCCAAGAGCCTGCCATTGTCTGTTCTGACTGGCAGTGACTCCAGGATCCCAGGCAGGGATTTTCTCATTTTTGACTGAAGAGTCCATGGATTGAACTTGGGAGCTTCTTGATGCAAAGCATGTACTCCACTACTGAGCAGTGGTCTCTTGCCTGTATAGAAATGTGGCCACTCACTGGCTTGAGCCACTTCTGCAGCTGAGCTTTCTTTCTTGCTAAAACCAGCTGTGTTTGTCTCTGTGAATGTGGCATAACCCCCTTTTCTGTTTGGAGCCATCTAATTCTTAGGGTGTTGTATTGTGTGATACCACATCTGTAAAAGAGATGTGAACTGGGTCTCCTAGCCATAGAACGGACGGTGCACTGTGAGCATGACCACTGACCAAGGGTGATGGAAGTTGTAGTCTGGCTACATCTAGAAAGCACCACATTGAGCGATGCTGCTCTAGACCCTCTCATGTGTGCTTCCCAGTTTCTTGCGGAGTGAAGGTGGGATGTAAACCCTGATGCGAATTATAAATGAAGGGGGCACAAAGCCTAAACAGGATGGAACAAAGTTGCCAAAATGCAGTGCTATATTCTTTGTTTATATCAGGGGTCGGCAAGGTTTTTCTTGCCTGGTCTAGATTGGTCCCACAGAGATCCCTCCGTGGGTTGGATCGCGTGCATGGCTGCGATTTTCAGCATCTGTGCATGCACAGACGTGATTTCCAGCACCGCGGAAGCAAGTCCCTGCGCTGCGCTGTGCCGGTATAGCACAGCGTGCAAGCGGGCTCCTTGTTTTGGGGGTGGCTTGTGGGCTGGTCAAACAACCTCCGCGGGCCACTTCTGGTCCATTGGCCTTAGGTTGCTGACCCCTGGTTATATGTTAATCCAAGTCATGACTAGTCAAGTCTCTGTTGGTGAACAGAGAAACCATAAAATGGACTGTATCTCAAGATAAATAGATGATTTGAAGATGTAATGCGATTCCAAGACATCTGCTGAACCCTTTAGTTGGTGGAAAGCTCGCCTGTATGAAATTTCACATGAGTTGGAGTCGTATATTTGAGCAACTCTTTTACGAAGTAGAAAAGAGAGGTATAAGTTTTAAAAATATAAATATATATTCAAATTTATTTGCCTGTAATGCTTGGATATATCTGTGGATCTAAAGCTACATAGTTTGGTGCAGTGAAATGTGGATTGTGTGAGTCTGTGTAAAATTCAGTATGTGGGAAATAGCTTGGACTGCAGTTCCATCCATACTTACTGCTATGAGCTTTCTGCGGTTGCAGTTTGGGATAGCACGAGGCTCCTTCTCCTAACCATAGCTCAATGGTAGAGCACATGTTTTGCGTGCAGAAGGTCCTAATTTCAATCCCCGGTATCTCCAGTAAAAACAGGGGATCAAGGAAGAAAGATCTCTTTATCTCCCTGAGACCCTAAATAACCCTTGGCCTGGCTAAAATGTTCTACTAAGCCAAACCACAGTTTAGCATGAATGTGTGGACTCCTGGAGGTTGTGATTGCTTTGCTCTTTCCCAGTTGTTCTGTTCTGATGTGCCTTGCTAAACTGTGGCTTGGTGACCCAGCTGAGCCTTTGCTCATAGTTCAGTTCTCTCTAGACTACCAAGCCGTCACCAGGGTTTGTCCTGTGGCTTACGGCTCATGGAGAATTCCAGGAGAATTAAACCATGAACCTGGTGGGGACAGAATGCTAAGCCAAATCATGGCTTAGTGCAGCAGCAGAATCACCAGGGGGAGGAGCAAAGCAACCTCAGTTTCCCTTCTGAGAACCTGTACATTTCTGCTAAACCGTGGTTACCCACATGCCACTGGCAATTGAAGTAGATAATACTAGCCTAGATTGACCAATGGTTGGACCTGGTAAAAGGCAGCTTCCTTCACACAGTTGGACCCTCTAGCCCTGTGCTGACTGACTGGTGAGTAATCACTCTCCAAGGTCTCAGAGATATTTGCCTGCCTTCCTACCTGTAATTTCTTTAGCTGGAGTTGGTAAGGACCAGAGCTTGGGCTTATGCATCCCCTTATCAACTGCCCCCACCCTCACCCAAAATCCCCGAAGGTCGGCACTTAGGAATCCTCATCCTTAATATGCATGAATTGATAGATATCCTTGGCTATGGCCCCAGTGTGGATTTTCTGAAAGGGAAATTTATTGTCTTTCCCCCAACCCCAGTTAGCACAAAGCAATTTCTCACATGCAGCTGACCTTCGAGCTGCACATATTAGGGATTTTGCTTTGGATAGGAAGCCATTACAGTCGTACCTTGGTTGGCGAACGCCTTGCGACTTGGAGCGTTTTGGCTCCCGAATGCTGCAAACCCGGAAGTGAGTGTTCCGGTTTGCGAACGTTCTTTGGAACCCAAATGTCTGATGGGGCTTCCGTAGCTTCCTATTGGCAACAGGAGCTTCCTGCAGCCAATCAGAAGCTGCGCCTTGGTTTCTGAACGTTTTGGAAGTCGAACAGACTTCCAGAACAGATTACGTTTGACTTCCGAGGTACCACTGTACTAACTTTCCAGTGTGTGTCCATGCATTTATTCAGCACTTATAAGGACAGGTAAAATAGGAAAAGCCCCATGTAGATTTAGCCATGTAGAATAGCTCTCTGTGTAGTGGGGACGAGGAGAAATAATTTTTGTGTCATTTAAAATATTTGTATGCTGCAATTTATCAAGGGGATTTAATGCATGAAGCAGAGCAGGAAGGACTTTTTGCATACCTCCAGACCACAAGAGCTGTCTGCCTGAGGGCCCCCATGTTGCTTCATGACATTCATGCGTATTGCATTTCTGATATCCTCCCCACTTTCCAGTGCTCATTCAGTTGCAATTACCTCTTTGCTAGAAGAATTGTCCTTCTGAATCCCTGCACAAAGGAATTGATCCTATTGTAGCTAAGAAAGGAGGCAGGGGGGCCACTTGATCAAACTACAGGGTGGGAAAACTTCGTTCATATTTTTATGTTTAACTTTCTCCCATCTACACTCCCAACACTTTTCGTGTCCTCTGTTCCCAGTGGTAACCAAGCAGATCAAAACCGCATCCCTTGCTAAGCAGTCCTCGCTCGCCACCCTCACCCTTGAGGGCTTTGCACGCAGAGTCGATCAGCCCTGCGCTGCTGTAGCCCTCGGGTGCAAGGAACTGTAGGAGTGGGTGGGTCCGTTCTGAACAATAAACGAATGAAAACCACTTTCAAAACTGACTACGCAGCATGTTTGTGTGCGTGTGTGTGTTTTCTAAAGAATAAAAATACATACCTAAAATACATGTCCCGTTGAATAAATAGAACCAACATCAGTGGACCTTGCCGAAACAATTTCAATAGACAGTACCGGAGAGGAATTGTCGATGGATAACTCAGATTTACCTGACACTACCAGGGGCTCAGAAACAGAGTGTGATTATGATGCAAGCATAGAAACTAATATAGATGATCCCGATTTCCCGGATGAGAACTCGAGAGTGAAAACGAAGAGGCGCGATACAGATTTAACACTAAACACAGTAGGTAAGTGAGTTTCCTTGTTAACGTAGGTTATAGCAGTGACTCCCAAACTGGGCTGGGGCAGGAAGCAAGTGTGTGCCACGAGAGGGGCTGGAAAATGAACCTTGGTTAAAACGAGTGCCCAAACCAGGTGCATTCACTCTGTAGGGATGCCCTCTTCCCCAGCAATGATCTCTACCAGGGGTGGGGAACCTCACCTTTGCCCTTTGCCCAGGTTGCACCCCTTGCCCCGTGCCCTCCTTGAGTTCTTTTCCCCTGTTGATATGTGTTCCGGAACTGTGATGGTGTCTCTGCTTGTCCCGATGGAGAAGAGGTGGTGTCAGGGGAACCCCTGGCTTTTGCATGGCTGGGATTCGCACTGCTGCACTAAGATCACATCCATTGCTCTCTCCACTTTTGCCTCTGGCCTTACCCACTGTCAGCGTGCGACTCCCAGAAGGTTCCTCACCCCGATCTACACCCCCACACTGTTTCTGCCACTCTTATTGGCAGAGATATCATCCGAAAGACAGCACCTTGCAATGCAGCAGAGAAGGCAACAGGTGAATCATAGAAATGTCACAGCTGCCAAGACAGCATCCTGGGTCCCTACCCTGCATCCGGGGTGAAAGGGGGCGCTGGATGCAATTTTAGCTGTGCTCTCTGGTAGTCACGAAAAAGAGGCCCGCACTGTTAGTCTAAAACAGGTGTGGGATGAACCCCTGGCCCTCCAGATGTTACTGAACTACAACTTCCATCAGCTCTAGCCAGGGATGATGGGAGGTGTAGTTCAGCAGCATCTTAGACCACACCTGGTCTAAAAGCTGCATGAGAAAAGGAAGCAGCAAAAGAATGAGACTTCTCTCCATTCTACACTCGAAAATGGGCCAAGGGAACTGTGCCCCAGATACTAAAAGTTTTGGAAACGCTGGATTAGGTAAAATGGAGCACAGAGAGAAATAAGCATCTAGTTCTGATAGTATGTAGATGGACCCGATCTAGTACTCTTTTAAAACCTGTTCATTTCAAAGGCAGGGAGATCTGACCCTGTGTGTAATTCTCCTGTTGGAATGCATGGGAATTCAAATGGGCTAAGCTGTCTAGATTGTGCCCAGTCTTAGCACCTGGCAGTGAGTCAGACCTCAAACACTTTTTATCCCATCCTTTCCCCCCAGTCTTGGTCTAGACATTGTCCTCTATTTGCTAATGTCTTTTAACATGATTCTGCTACTAACTTTGTTATATGCATGGCATAGTTGCTAATTTAAAAAGCTGTTCTTTTTAAGCCACCTTTGAGAAAGAGTAAGCTTACCGTAGCAGTTTTCCACCTTTTTCTGCATGTTTCTGCATTCAAATGTCTGTATATCTTTATTCTGTGTCCTAATCCTGCTCTAATAACCTCTCTTTCTTTCTTTCTCTTTCTCTTTTAAATTCATACTTCCATTTGCAGCTCCAGATCTTTCAACTTCATGCTGTTCTGTAAAGAGCAAGGGTGTAGCAGGAAAAGCAAAAGCTTTAACCATTAAGTGCACCCTTCCTGATGTCCAGGCTTTTCATTTGCCTCGGATGTGCTTGCTGGTGGCTGTGTGTATGTGTATTAATTCCTCCCGCCCCTTCAAGCACCAGCCTCCCCTTTCCTTGTAAAAGATCATTTTCTGTTCATATAAGGTACAAAGAGATCAGTGGCCAGCTCCAAAAGAAATGTGCACCCAGTGGCTTATATTAGATCTTTTTGACTTCTTCTGTGGCTAAGGGCAACCTCACACCCCCATTGCCATATCTCAGAATGCTTCTAACTCTCCCCATTTGAGATGTAGTCTGCAGTGCAGCAGAGGAGTGTAAGCTGCTGCTGTACGGCAGGTCAGGCATCTTCTCCATCTAACCTAAGTTTTACTGCTCCCAGCATATTTCCTCCTCCCTTTAAACTGAAGATTTAACTGAAGGTACAGTGGAACCTCAGTTGTCGAACGTAATCCATTCTGGAAGACCATTCGACTTCCGGAAACGTTCGACAACCCAAGCGCAATTGCCAGTCGGCAAAATCCATTGAAAAAATAGAGGGGGGAACTGGAGAAACGCGCTGCGGAAGCCATTCGACTTCCAAGGCGTGATCGAAAATGGAAGCATTCACTTCTGGGTTTTCGGCGTTCAGGTTCCTAATTGTTTGGCTTCCAAAGCGTTCAACAACCTAGGTTCCACTGTGCAAAGGATGGAGCTTTGGGATCTTCTGCATGCAGAACATTTGCTCTTCCACTGAGCACTGCTTCCTCCTCATTTGGGAAGAAAGAACATCTAAATTCTCTTTTCAGCTGCGCAGAACTCATTGCACGGTTCCTTGGATCCTGGCCAGTGCGTAAAATGTTATTGTGTGGTAACCTACAATTGTCCAGGATAGTCCTGACTTCATCTGCCACCCCCTCCAATATCAGCTTGATTCAAGTATATTGTCTGTAAACAGTGAAAGTCTGGCTTAAGTCAGGGGTGGGTAGCTTGTGGCCCTCTAGATGTTGAAGGACTCCAGCTCCCATCAGCCTCTGCCAGCATGGTCAATAGCCAGGAGCGAGAGGAATTGTGGTCCAGCAGCACCCAGAGAGAACCTCTGCGCTCTCTTTGGAACTGGGGAGCTGGTGCAGTTTTAGTAGCTAAGAGCATCAGGAGGAAACCACAGTGGTGGGAATTGTAAGACAAGAACATCTCCAGAGGGCACCTGTTTGGCAATGGCTGCTGTAAATTTTTGAGCAATGTGCCCCAAACTTCTAGTACTTGGAGCACATTTAAATTATTATTTCCTCCCTGAGTTGAAACTGGATGCACATCGTTCACCAGATACCTTGAGCAGGCTTGGTATCTCCGTTGATACTGTCTGTTGTCCTTCACCCTGTGCATTGTGCAGTTGTCTGCAACTCAGGTACAGGTTGGCGCTGTCTAGCCATGGGATTCCCCTCCGATATTAGCAAAAGGCTGCATTAGGGAACAGACACATCCTTACTCCCTCCTGCCAGATTGCATCTCAGTCTTGTCCGTATTATTGGCAGAGAGAGGGAAGATAAGTGCTAGGCATGGTCTTCGCCTCCGCCAATATGATATTGCTCCTTGTTCATTCAGCAGGTTACCTTAATGTTCGATGCTTTCTCTCCACTATTGTGGAGACACTGTTGTGGTCTTAGCTACACTGTTGTGGCACAGAGTTTGGTCTTTGATTTTTTTGGCTATTCTGGAAATTGAGTCCTGCCCAAATTGCTACTCTATTCCCTGTTCCTCCTAGTAGGCTCTGGTATAATAAAACTCCTCGATCAAAGCCTTGTAACTCCAACCAATTGCCATATTTCATCTAACTTTGCAGTTATGTTTTCAACACTTCCCCCTCCCCTTTCTGTATTTGTCTGTCTGTCCTGGAGCTGACTTTTATGTACATTCGTCCTCCGGCAGTATTCTGCCAGGGACAATCAGTTTGTTTCGTGACGTCCAAAGGTCAGAGAAGGGAATTCTAAAAAAGTTCTTTATTAACTCAGCTGCCTAGCAGTTTCTTGTCTCTTAGGAGAGATGTGTTGAATTTTGAATGGCTTCTCATAACAACAAAATCTCAAAGTGGTCTACAACAAGAATAAAATACAGTAATCAAATAAAATGTATTAAAAACATAAGGTTTTGTGCTGGTATTAAAAACATAAGGTTTTGTGCTGGTGCTGCACAAATGAAACTACCGTATTTTTATAACACGCACCCGACCATAACACGCATGTAGTTTTTAGAGGAGGAAAACAAGAAAAAAAATATTCTAAACGAAACAGTGGATGTATGATTTTTGTGGTTCATGCTGTGGCCACAGACATGTGATCTGATGGTGAGTTTGGGGTAGCCCAATGCAAAAATCCTGAGGATCCATGTGGATCCATGCTTTGTAACCACGTTTTTGTACCACTGCGGCCCCAGGCAACAGTGGGTGCGTGATTTTTTTTGGTGCAAGATGTAGCCATGGACATATTATGCGATCTGATGGTGAATTTGGGGTGACCCAGTGCAAAAATCCTGAGGATCCATGTGGATCCGTGCTTTGTAACCACGTTTTAAGTGGGGAGGGAAGGAAAAGCACTCAAGGGACAAGGAGAAGGATGCTGCTAATAATGCAGAAGAGGGGTTTAAGGGGAGAAGAAGCATGCGTGGGGTGGGTGGAGAAGGATGCTGCTAAAAATGCAGAAGAGGGGTATAAGGGGAGAAGGCTCTTCTCCTCTCCCACTTTGCTCCTTTAAAGCAAGCAGGCTCTGCTTTTCTCCCTCCTCCCCGGCTTAGCGAGCTGAAAAACTTTGCTGCTATTTAGCGAGCTAAGTGGAGAGGAGAGAGGGACAGAGAGCCTGCTTGCTTTAAAGGAGCCAACCGGACAGGAGCCGCTTATATTGGTGTAAGCAGCTCCTCTCCTCTCCTCTCCTCTCCTCTCCTCTCCTCTCCTCTCCTCTCCTCTCCTCTCCTCTCCTCTCCTCTCCCACTTTGCTCCTTTAAAGCAAGCAGGCTCTCTGTCCCTCTCTCCTCCCCACTCAGCAGCTCTTCTCCCGCTTTGCTGTTTCAAAGCGAGCCAAGGAGGAGGGAAGGAAGGGGAACCATGGATCCTCTGCTCACGACTGCAGCAGATCCCCCCCCCCCGCCACCCATAGGCATTCCCTCCATAACACGCACAGACATTTCCCCTTACTTTCTAGGAGGAAAAAAGTGAGTGTTATGGTGCAAAAAATACGGTACTTCTCAGGGGTGTTGGTTGCCCATCCACAATGATCACCTGCAAGCATGCAGGTCACATTACCACACTCTTCCCCCACTAGGGTGAGGTGTTTCTTATCTCCTTTAAAAAACAAGCTAATTCATTTTAAATTTGCATCTAAATTAGCACATGCAAATGTGCCTTTTTGTTGTTGTTGGCAGTGAACTTTCTCTTATTTTTGGGGTGTTGCACAAGTGCCCCCTCTAGCTGTTGCTGGATACGTCAGCATCGTTTAAGTTCAGGGACAAGCCAATCTTTTGGGGAGTGTGGAATAATAGGGCATAAAAAGTCACAGTACTGCTTGGAGCCAGGTCAGTCTCCCCCTGAGGATCTCTCCTCAAAACCCACCTCTTCCATGAAGGTGTTGACTTTATCCCTTGGTCCCTCACCCTGGTCCAAAACTAAGCAGACATTTTAATTGTTGCTGATAGACACACACACATTTCCATTACGTCTCCATTTGTTGTCTCGCCGCACAATTGATGGCATGTTCCTGGAGCTTTGGTCCAAAGGCACACAATGTAGCCACCTTTCTGAAGCCAAGCAAACCAGGGTCTGGCTCTTGGGGATCCCCAGTGATGCAGGATATAGCAATGCAATTAAATGTATTTAAGGCTGTATGCTCCTCGATGCAAGAGGCTGAGAGTTCTGTTTGATTTTTCTCCTTTATTTACTCTTTAAGTTTACCCCATTTATTCCCCCTCGACCGCTTTGTTGCAGGGACCACATAATACTCGCTCCACATTTGTAAGGAATCAATTTTTTAGCATTGCACTTCGGAACTCCCTGCCTCTTGATATCAGGCAGGAGGCTTCACTGTACCTTTTGGCACCGGATAAAAACATTTTATGCAAGTGGCCAAGTGGGTATATATGGGGTATGCGAGTAAACTGGTCCCAAACTGTGAAGGGTTGTTACTTGAACTTGTCCCAGTAGCGAATTGGCAACCAGCACAGGCCTCTGAGCAAAAGTGCTATATGCTGACAAAGTCTCGATCCTGGCAGCAGTTACGCTGCAGAACTCTGCACTCCCTGCAGCTTCCAGATCAGGCTCAAGGAAAGCCCCACGAAGAGCACATTGCAGTAGTCTAATCTCAAAGTAACCAGTGCATGAACTGCTGTTAGGCATCAAATGTTGGGAGGGCAGGGTTATTATTGTAAAACCTTTTACCTAATCTCTGTCTTGTTTTGATCAATGGCTTGCAACATGAATTTATCTCGCTTGAATAGTGATGCGCTTAGGTAACTTTAGACTCTGGTTTCTGGCACCTCTCGGGCGGGTGCCATTGCAGGCCGGCAATCTCCCTGCCCACTTCTTGCCTTTACAGAAAAAGTATGAAAACGAACATTTCAAGTCAAAATGGATTGTGGCCAGTGTGTGCGAGTCTGCACTTTTTTTTAGATCTGTGACTCCACCTAGCTCCTAGCTGCTCCTGGGTGCAATTGCTCAAGCTATGGGACAGAGCCAATTCGGATTTCCTTTTCTTCAATCCGTCTCCCATGTAGTGGTAGTGGGCCTTAAGCTTTTAAGCCAGGCCTTTACCGTTGCACAAAAATATTTTCTCAAGGGCCCTTCTGAGCTGCCCTAGCCATCTGCCTGAATCTATGAGAACAAGGGAGGCGGGGGTGCATTTATTTGTCCTGCACCAGAACCAGGGGCAACCCCCAAACCAACTAGGGAGACAGCTTGCCATAGTTTTTAGCACCTCCTCGGGCACTGAATGCAGCTGTTGTCAAAACGGCACCCGTTCAGGGCTGCCCCAAGTCACCTGGTGACTTGCTGTAACAACTTCATGGTGAGTTCCGGCACCTATTTTTTTTTTGGGGGGGGGGAGCACTGGCTGTAAATAAAATGTATTGCCTTCTTTGCTGGCTCTGGGAGCTGCAACTGCTTAACTTGTTCTAGACCAGGCACCTTAAGCCTTTTTAGAGACCCAAGACCCAAACATGCATTTGGGGACCCATTTCTCAATCTTTCACCATACATTTGCATGGTGGTAGTACACCTGTTGCAACCCGCCTTGGATCAGACCACAGCACACTAGTGAGTCCGCACCCACTATTGCAATTGGAAGACCTAGGCAATCTTCAAAGATTATATTGAGGAGTTGTGTTAGGGTTCTGAGTCTCCAGCGACTTTTAAGGCTGTCTGAAAAGACATGTTTTCAGTCTTATATAACCCTCTATTTCAGCCGTCAGTGGCCCACTTCAGGTGTCATTATTTCAGTCTTATTTCAGACTAAGAGCAGTATTTAAGCCAATTCATGAAGACAGCTAAAACTAAAGGCGCACACTTCCAGCCTTATTGAACTGAAGTTCACACTTCTCTCTCCCTGTTTTAAAGGTGTGTGATGATTCCAGGATTATTATTATACTTTTATGGCATGGAGCAGATCTCCCAATGGGGTTGCATCTGCAGGAATCCCTCTCTTGTGGAGCACAGTGATCAGTTGGGGCGTAGACATAAATTACTGGCATGGTAATTGTCAGCCACCTTGTAAGGCTTCCCCAAAAAATGAAAATGCTTTGTATATTTTGAGTTAGCGGGGGCTCGCTGGGGATTCCTTAGTTGTGATTCCTGTTGGGGTGCTCCCCTTCCTCACCCTCCCCTTTGCACACCCCCAAATTCTGTTCCAGGGGGCTTCCAATTTCCCCCCTCCTTCTCTGCAGTGTGCTCCCAAAACAAGACCCTTAACAGCTTGGGCCCAGGATACCTTATTCCTCAGATCCCTACCTGATCACAGGTGTTTAGGGGAGTGTTGCTGCTATTGGTCCCTTGTGGAGCCATGAAGTCAGTAATGTGGGGCTGACTCTGTGGACATCTTTCCTGGCTGAGGTCAGACAGATCCCCTTTGGGTGCTTTGTGAAGACCTTTTTAGTTCAGCAGGCTTTTTTAAGTAAGGGTCCCCCCCCCCCTAATTTTATGGATAATTTAACTTTAACTTTTGTATCTGTTTTGTACCTCATTGTACACTGCTTAGAAACTACAGTGCTTTTAAAATTTGTTATTATCGATAAATAACCTGTATATCAAAGATTTCAACGTAAAACAAATTGTGTTGCAAGAAACCCACAACCATACATAAGGCTGCACAATTTTCTGGAGCTCTGTTGCTCCACTGCGTAAGAAACATACCCCATTTCGCCGCAAAAAATATTGTTCTGTTGCCTTCCCTCCCCTAACCCTTGCTATATTCATTTATTTAACCGTATTACAATTTCCTATCTTTGCACAATCCATTCTTCAACAATTGGCGTTCTTCTTTTCGTTTCCCTTTTTCTTTAAAAACAACAACATAGGTTGTTTGCCCTTAGAATGTCCAGCTTCTCCGCTATGGAAAACAATACCCGTATTGTTTCATCTTCTGTATGATAAATAAATGAAAAACATGATGTTAATGTGCATTGGACTGAGGATGAGCAAGGAGTTAAATGATGGAACTCCTGTTTCATCTTGAAATGGAACTCCTACAGGATTCAGCAATGGCCACCAATCTAGATGGCTTTAAAAGAGGCTGGGACAAATTCATGGCAGAGGAGGGAGAGGCTTTGTTCTACTTCCATGGTCAGAGGCAGTCATGCTTCTGAATACCAGTTACTGGAAACTGCAGGAGGGAGAGAGCGCTGTTGTGCTCTCCGGTCCTGTTTTGAGGATTTCTATGGGCATCTGGTTGGTCTCTGTGAGAACAGGATGCTGGACTAGATGAGCCATTGGCCTGATCCAGATAAAACTTACGTAATTAAACACACACACAAATACAAACACCCTGGTGTTAATCAGTATATGAATTGTTAAAAGATCTACTCCAAAGCAGTGGCTTAGCATGGGTTGCTGGGGCCCAGGGCAGGGCAAGTGTTGCACCCCTCTGGTGTACTGGGCAGCTGGGGTGTGGGCATGGGGGGAGGAAAGGGCAAGCCAGCCCAACCTCATTGGGGCATCAGCCGCACGGAGGAGGCGCTGTCCTAGCCCTGAAGGCTTGGACCAGGTGCAGCTTGCCTTCCTGTAGCGCCGGAAGGTTTCAGGAGCTCAGCCATGCTGAGGGAGCCTGCTGTGGGTTGGCTGGTTGTGCCCATCTCATAATTTTGCACATGAGGCCACCACCCCTCGGACCCCCGCCCACTACACCACTGCTCCAGAGGAGCCCCAAACCCTCTAGAGCAGAGTTTCTGGGGCTGCACAGGGGAGGGAGAGGAAGAGGAAGGCTTGTTGGGTGAGCAGAAGTCTGTTGTGCTTGGGCAAAGGCAGTGTTGCACACATCCCCTTATACTCCCCAAACAAGGCTGTGTATTGAGCCTCTCTGCTGGGTTTCCAGCGCATGAAGTGCTCTGTGTGCATCCAGGGGAGCAAGCGGGGTGCAGGCTTCCTGTCGAGTAACCCCTTTGGCATGGGAGATTTTCATGTGAGCAGCATAGGGCCATCATTTCCCTCTGCAAATAAATGTCCAACTGCCTCTGAATACGAAGCTAAATCTCAGTCCTCAGCTTGATTTCCACCTCTCGTGACCGGCAGAGAGATTAAACAAGGTGGTGAGTGTACGATGGAGCCTTCGGGAGTATCTGAACGATGAAGGAATCTGGTTAAAGTTCTGGACATGGCCAGATTTGGGTCTTCGAGGGAGGAATTTCAACCCCAAGGGCGCAGGACCCGAAACTGCAAAGTTCAGATTTTTGCCTTGTCTTTATCTCTCTCACATCTTTTTGCTCTCTTTCCCTGCAGCTTCAGCATCAGATAGCGCAGAGCCATCCTCTGAAGAACAAGAGAAATCACTCGACAAACCAAAACAGAAAAAAACTCGCTGCTTCATGTGCCGGAAGAAGGTTGGGCTTACCGGTAAGTTCCTTTTCATTCATTAACTTGAAATGCGAGCTGTAGATCAACAGTAAGAGTTTACTTCTGCCTTTGAAATAAACACGTCTGGATCCTCTAACATTGAGCTCAAACCAGCCCCTGCCTTTTACTCCCCTGTCTAGAGGAGGTGGTGCAAAAGCTTGATGATTTTGTGTGTGTCTTTTAAACTACAGTGGTACCTTGGTTTACAAACTTAATCCATTCCGGAAGTCCATTCTTAAGGCAAAGCATTCTTAAACCATGGCGTGCTTCCTATAGCAGCAGGGGACTCAATTTACAAATGGAACACACTGAACATGTTCTGCTTCCAAGGCAAAGTTCACAAGCCAAAGCACCTACTTCCGGGTTTGCAGCGTTCTTAATCCAAGTTGTTCATAAACTAAGCTGTTCTTAAACCAAGGTACCACTGTATCTTTATAGCAGCTGCTATTTGATGCATCTTATTATTACTGCTAATTACAGTCGGTAGCCTGCTCTTAATTGTTAAATTGGGTTTTTATAAGACTTGTGTATTTTTAATGCAAGTTTTATAAGACTTGTGTTTTCTTTATGTAAGTTGCACATAACCTGGCAATCCACCAAGCTGAAGGGCAAGTTGTGAAGGTTCTGAGCAAGTAATATGAAATGGTGTATTTATTATTAACATTACTGGTGGCACATTGTCACTGTGCCCTTCAACTTGTGATGAGCTGACAAGCAGCCTTTCAACCAGTCTGATCTGAAATGTTGTGCAGCAAATTACTTTGGGGTCCTGCAGCACAATACACACCCAGAAGGCTTTGTTTGGCCAGAATCGAGTCTACACCTCCAGAACTGATGCTAAATACATTACTTCTTGCAAATGAGCCACCATAGCCACTAGAGGTCCGTGAAATTTTTTGTCCTGGGCTTTTTAGACTCGTCTACCCATGTACTGGGACACGGGTGGTGCTGTGGGTTAAACCACAGACCCTAGGGCTTGCAATTCAGAAGGTCGGCGGTTCAAATCCCCGCGACGGGGTGAGCTCCCGCTGTTCGGTCCCAAATCCTGCCCACCTAGCAGTTTGAAAGCACGCCAAAAAGTGCAAGTAGATAAATAGGTACCACTCCAGCGGGAAGGTAACGGCGTTTCCGTGCGCTGCTCTGGTTCGCCAGAAGCGGCTTAGTCATGCTGGCCACATGACCCGGAAGCTGTACGCCGGCTTCCCTGGGCCAGTAAAGCGAGATGAGTGCCACAACCCCAGAGTCGGTCACGACTGGACCTAACGGTCAGGGGTCCTTTTACCCTTTGCCTTACCCATGTACTATCTGAAACCAAAGGGGCACGCGTTGCTTTGTACACAGGTGTGTGGCTGAAAGGACTCCCTTGGAAGGGGTTTGACTCTCCTTCCTTGGAGATTTTTAAATTGGATGGATGGCCATCTGCCCTGGATTCTGCAGTTGAGATCCCTGCATTGCCAGATGTGAAATACATAGACATTAAATTCCAGCTCTCCTGCCCCGCTAAGCGCTTTGAGCAAAGGAAGTGCACCCTGCCTCTTCTCCTGACCCCCAGGCCTCTTACAGGCCCTCCCTGTCTTCTCTCCTCCGCAGGATTTGAATGCAGGTGCGGCCACGTTTACTGCGGCGTCCACCGCTACTCAGACGTTCCACGGTTTGGCTCTTACCAATTTACCAAAGCGGACGACATGCCGACGAAGTATCCAGAAAAAGAGAATCCTGTATGTCGTCGGGGACAAGATCCAGAAGAATTTGAACTCTGCCTACACTCTAGCTGGAAGTATTCCAAACAAAAAACGAAAAAAACAGCAAAAAAATAGATGAACCATCTTGCAAGATGAAAGTGACTTAGCTTCTTTCCCTCTGCCCACCCCTTCCCATTTCTTCCTCCCACTCGACTTGCTTTAGTTCATGCATCCGAATCATGCATTGTCATCCGAGAGCATAGGTTCCCCCCGTTCCTCCCTTTTACGAACATGAGCTAAACTTTAATTGGCAATTGCCCTCACGACCACCACCACAACAGCTGGAGAGTTAAGCAACCTTACAACCTTGTGAGATTCACTTATATCGGAGTCCCTGTGGGGCCCCTGAATAAATACGATGGCTATTCAAGTATTATCCTTTTGAAATAATTTTTAATTTTAGTTGAGTGCAGAGGGCTTTTTATAATACCGAACACGAGATATATCGGAAAGGCAGCAGCGCTTTTGTTTGTATTTCTCTCTCTTCTGTTGTACTCAAACATGCATGCATTAACCTGGCCGTTTTTGTTTTCCGGGGATTTCCCCATCTCTCTCTTTTTTTGTATATAGCTTTCCTTTCCTTTTCTCTGCAGCACGATTTCCCTCCCCCCCCCCCCCATAACGCCTCGTACGGCACAACTAGCGATCAGTAACTGAATGTATTTTAATCATTGCGGCTGCTTGGGTTTTTGTTTTGTTTTCCGTTCTCCTCCCCCATTAACAAAGGTTTATACATATGTTAGCATAATAGCTTGTTTGCACCCCCCCACTACCTATTTATGTATGAATCATTTGTAATGCGTGAGTCTGAGCGTGTGATTGAGTGAGAGAGAGAGAGAGAAAGAGAGAGAGAATTCTGAGATTCTAAAGTTTGTGTGTGGGATTTTTGTTTTTCCTTTTCAAAGGTAACTTCTAGAATATTTCTCCCACCCCTTCTCCCTGTGTGTGTGTGGTGTTCTAGGACGGGGGGAGGGCGGGGGGGTTGTCTGCACTTCCTTGCCGACTGCAGGTTTTCTTGGGGTTTATGTTATTGGGGTCCTTTATGTACACCAATATGAAGAATGAATGAAGTTTTAACTGTATTGTATTTATGTTCATCCACGTCTTTAACTTTGATTAAAATAAAATTTTAAAAAATTGGGATTTGGACGCGATGGTACGCGTTGCTTTGTAACCGGAAAGTCTCCCTCGGAAGGGGGTGGACTCTCCTTCCTTGGAGATTCTTAAGCAGAGGTTGGAGGGCCATCTGTCATGAATGCTGCAGATCAGATTCCTGCATTGCAGAGGGCTGGACTAGATGACTCTTGGAGACCCTTCCCACTCCACAACTCTGTGGATGGACTGTAGCTCAAGTGGTAGAGTATCGGATTTACACCAGGAGGTCCCAGGTTTAATCCCCAGCACCTCGAGGTAGGACGGAGAGGGTCTGGAATCTGCATTCAGAGCATCGTCTCCCCGCGCTGAGCTATGGCTCAGTCTGCTTCAGTCACTCATACAGAATCTCTCTACCCTCATCACCACCACACCAAACTCACTTAAAGTGTGTGGCTCCCCCCCCCCAAGAATTCTGGGAACAGCAGTTTGTTAGGGATGCTGGGAATTGTAGCTCTGTTGCAGCAGTTCTCAACCTGTGGGTCCCCAGATCTTGTTGGACTAGAACTCCCGTCATCCCTAAGCTCTGGCCTTGCTAGCTAGGGGTGATGGGAGTTGTAGTTCAACATCTGGGGACCCACAGGTTGAGAAAGGCTGGTTTAGGGGGTCAACAAGAGAAGCCATGTGTTTTAAATGTCTGGGGTGGAGTATTGGTCCAGGAGCACAGGTGGATGGACCCAGACAGTGTGTGGTCCTCAGACATGCTCCCTTTGGCCTGCTAAGCCCTAACACATTGGTAGGCAAGCTAAGGGCTGGGGGCCGGATGCAGCCCAATCGCCTTCTAGATCCGGCCCACAGATGGTCCAGGAATCAGCATGTTTTTACATGAGTAGAATGTGTCCTTTTATTCAAAATGCATCTCTGGGTTATTTGTGGGGCATAGGAATTCGTTATTTTTCAAAATATAGTCCAGCCCCCCACAAAGTCTGAGGGACAGTGGACCGGCCCCCTGCTGAAAACGTTTGCTGACCCCTGGGCTAATGCTTTCCCTGCCGTGTCCAGCTGATCGGCTATCACTTGGATGACGTGGAAAATGTCACTGTTCTCAAGACTGCGAAGCAGCTTAGGGTCCACAATCTTGCTGAACTGAAGCTCTGGGGGAGCGGAGGGGGGAGGTTTTAAATAAGTGGGCATGGAATAAGTTTGTTACTCCGTGTGCCCCCTGCGTGGTCTCACAGCAGGTGGCAGCAATTTAAAGCACAACATGAAAAACTAAAAACAACTTGCAGGAATAGGGCAGGTCCTAATCTCAGATTTTCAAAGCTAGAGTTAGAGGCTGAGGTGCATCTTCAGCATTCACAGAAAACACTAGTGAAATTGCCACACTGCCATTATTCAATTTAATTTTTCAGTATTAAAAGACTGTTAAAGGTGATTTTAAATGTGGTGCGAGCCTATGCATGTTTACTCAGAAGCCGGTCCCGCTGAGCTAAATAGAGCTTCCCGGAAGGGTGTGTTTGGTAGTGCCAGAGTGTCCAAGCTGTTCCAAATATGTTTATCAGTTATCCTTACAACCCTGCCTGTAGGGCAGTGCAGTATTGCCCCCATATTGCAGATTGGAAGACTGACGCCCCGGAATGCCTTGCCTACTGCAACCTAATGTTTTTTGTGCCTTTCCGCCCAAAGAACTCATTTGCTTGAAGGAGCTTCCCAAAGCGTTTACCTAAACGCAACTACCAAAGATCCTGTGCGTTTAAGGAATTCTTTCTGAGCTGCAATTGAGAGAGAGTCGCGCTGAGACTTTGGGCTTTGCCCTGCCAATATAGGCAACGTTCAGGGCTGCTGGAGGGCTACAGCTTCCCCCGTCCTGGATTGGGCCCTGCGTGGTGCAAAGGAAATTCAGGCAGCATCAAAGATGATTGGGAAAGAGACTCTCTTTTTGCCTGTGATTCCATGTTTCATGCCAGCAGCCTTCCCTCAACCTGGTGCCTTCCAGATGTTTTG